CTGAAGTTCAGCTCGTTCCTGCTGTGATATGAGCTGAAGTTCGGCTCGTTCCTGCTGTGATATGAGCTGAAGTTCGGCTCGTTCCTGGTGAGATATGAGCTGAAGTTCTGCTCGTTCCTGGTGACATAGTTCTGGTTCTGGTTGTGTTTGCAGACCCGGCAGATGACGCTCATATGCGACATCCTGGTCCACGACAGTAAATCCAGCGCCTGTCTGAACGACGAGCAGAAATCTCTTTTAGCCACGTTCGATCGCAGAGCAGCCAACATGACGCTGCACAAGAGCAGCAGGAGGTGAGGCATCCAATCAGAGCGCTCGTCTGCCTGCTCGGACCAATCAGGATGTAGAGTTCTGCAGTTTGGTTTCCAGTTCCGAGTCAGGTCCAATCAGCAGCTGGTGTTCTCTCACAGGTTGTCAGTTATTGATGAGTCATCCTTCCTGACCTACTCTGACATCAGCTACGACTGCACCGACGATGACCTGGTACAGCACAGCTTCTGATCATGGCACACGCTTGGCCAGCTGACTCTGACAGGAAGTGTCTTCATGTTTCAGGACTTGGACACCACCATGATCAAACCTCTGAGGTCTCGAGCCAGAGAGAGGAGGGTGGGTTCTGAGAGCTCATCCTGTAGAACCAGAGATGTCCTGCCACCACCTCACGTTTCTGTCCCTTTGTCCTCATGTCTGTCTTGTCTTCTCACCTCCTTGTCCTCCTGTCGGTTCTGCAGCGCTCCTCCATGGTTCCGGTGGCCGGAGCTCCGGTTCTGAAGCGACGCACAGGTGGGAACATTTCTGCAGAGCTGCTGGAGAGAAAAACTGTGGAGAAGGTAACCAGAACCCAACGTTCAGGTCGGGTCCAGTCCTCAAAGTAGAACACGATGAACTTCAACTGGGTCTTCAGACAGGAAGTAGCTGGTTCAGACAGGAAGTAGCTGGTTCAGACAGGAAGTAGCTGGTTCAGACAGGAAGTAGCTGGTTCAGACAGGAAGTAGCTGGTTCAGACAGGAAGTGGCTGGTTCAGACAGGAAGTAGCTGGTTCAGACAGGAAGTAGCTG